ATTGCTTTTACGTTTTCTCTTCAAGAATTCTATCCAAATAATTCTAATCAATATTCGTGAAAGAAAACAAGTCGTTATCACATTTTTCGACCCTGGCTATTTTATCCTACATTGAGCAATACAGAATTTCCACATTAATCCATGCCTTCATTTGACTATGCTCAAATTAAAGAATGCTAGATATTTTTTACAATATATATATATATATATATATATATATATAGTATATATAATATATATATATATATATATATATATATTTAAAAATGTACAATATTCAACAAAATCTGCCTTCTCCATGGGAGGTATGATGCCAATGACGGAAACAAAAACACATTGTCATGTTACAAAGAATTTCAAGATAATAAAGCGTCATGATCGCACTTAACGAATAAGAAATTTAGATAAGGACACTGCTTTCACACAATTCCGAATAAAGGAATAAAGGTATCAACCACACAATTGCTTAACTATTAAACGCTGCAATTATTTTAATAGCGTTCTAAAATTTAAGTGAAAAACACACCCAAGACAATTTCCCGCTTGTTCTCTGCTATGTGTATCAAACATGCGTTCCCGTGGGTATTACTTCATTTTTTATGGAATTACTAAATTGCTAGCATAATTATGCAAGCAAAAAATATCGGAGCACGCGAAACATTACGTGTTCTCTGTCTTCCTACCTGCCTGAGTCATCTTACTCTGCACAATAGAATGCAGTCTGCTCGCGAACTAAGACAACACAATAACTAGCAAAATTGTGTAATGAACTGGAAGCTGGCAGATTTATATCAACCTTTCATAATAGAAACCTCTTTCTAACTTTTCCAAGGCAATCAGTGCATTCAGGATTTGTTTTTATGCCTTCTGCAGAGGATGACATAAGAGGAATTATGTCAATGCACCGAGAGTAGCATCCAGTCAGTAAGACTTACTGCACAAAAACGACTAAATACTCAATGGCATATATGTAAATAATAGCAAGGAAAGACTCTGCAATTTGTAACACAGCCAGTGCGCAGTTTACTAGCAGAAAGTCTAGTGTTCACGTAGCCGCGTGTAGACAGGTGTGTGTGTGTGTGTGTGTGTGTGTGTGTGTGTGTGTGTGTGTGTGTGTGTGTGTGTGTGTGCTGTGTGTGTGTGTGTGTGTGAGTGCACGCACACAGTAGGCAACAACGCACCCACGCACACGCACAAATACACGCCACCGAGCACACGCACAATTACACGGCACCCACGCACACACCAGGCACACGAACCCATGCGCACGCACACGCACACGCATACGCACACGCAGAAATACACCGCACCCACGCACGCGCACACGCACAAGCACACACACACGGTATACGCACCCACGCATGCGCACACGCACAAGCACACACACACGGTATACGCACCCACGCATGCGCACACGCACAAGCACACACACAGGTACACGCACCCACGCACACGCATAAATACACGCACAGGTACACGCACACGCACAGGTACACGCACACGCACGAGGTACACGCCACACGCACAGGTACACGCACAGGTATACGCAACAGGTACACGCACACGCACGCGCACCACACACAGGTACACGCACCCGAGCACACGCACACAAATACACGCACGCCACGACAGCGCACACGCACAGGCACACCACCGCCACAGGTACACGCCACACGCACGCGCACACACACAGGTCACAGCACCCACGCCATGCGGCACACCACAAAAGCACCCACAGGTACACGCAACCCACGCAACGCGCACATGCACGCGACCATACACACACGCACAAACACACACACGGTACACGCACGCGCACACACAGGTACACGCACCCACGCCACCACGCACGCGCATACACACAGGCTACACGCACCCACGCACACGCCACACGCACCCACGCACGCGCACACGCACACGCACGCGCATACACACACGCCACAAGCACACACACAGGTACACGCACCCACACACACGCCCACCGCGCACACACACACACACAGGTACACGCCACCCACGCACAAGCACACGGCACAAGCACACGCATAGGTACACGAACACAACGTACGCGCACACGTCACAAGCACACACACACACAGGTAGGTACACGCACACCACGCACACGCACACGAACACGCACACACACAGGTAGGTACGCACCCACGCACGCGCACACGAACACGCACACACACAGGTAGGTACACGCACCCACGCACCGCGCACACGACACGCACACACACACACAGGTAGGTACACAGCACCACGCACACGCACACAAACACGCACACACACAGGTAGTACACGCACACACGCACGCGCAACGCACAAAGCACACACACACACAGGTAGGTACACGCCACCCACGCACACGCACACGAACACGCACACACACAGGTAGGTACGCACCACGCACCGCGCACACAAACACGCACACACACAGGTAGTACACGCACCCACGCACGCGCCACACAACACCACACACACAGGTAGGTACACGCACCCACGCACGCGCACACGAACATGCACACACAGGTAGGTACACGCACCACGCACGCGCACACGAACACGCACGCACAAGGTAGATACACGCACCCACGCACGCGCACACGAACACGCACACACACAGGTAGGTACACGCACCCACGCACGCGCACACGAACACGCACACACACAGGTAGGTACACGCACCCACGCACGCGCACACGAACACGCACACACACAGGTAGGTACGACGCACCCAGACGTCACGCGCACACGAACACGCACACACACAGGTAGGTACACGCACCCACGCACGCGCACACGAACACGCACACTCATGTAGGTACACGCACCCACGCACGCGCACACGAACACGCACACACAGGTAGGTACACGCACCCATGCACGCGCACACGAACACGCACACACACAGGTAGGTACACGCACCCATGCACATTCCGCTTGCATTATTACGCACCCGTAGCAGGCAGATGAACGATGAGTCTAGCTTCCTAGCTGTTTACACCAACCACAGCCGATTTTGCAAGATTTCCTTGCGTAATTAAACAGAATGTACTCTGGCGTGATTATCAGTCTCACCCGAGCTCTGATGTCCAAAGAGGCAGAGAGGAATCTCGTTCGTGTAGCCCTGCTGGGTGCGTTCCCCAGCTGCCTTACCTGCTGTGCTGTCTCTCATTCACATGTGATACACAGTCACCAGGGCTTCCCTCATGCAAACCTCTGTGCTATCTCAGGGTAGTGAGCTTGGGTAATCTATCCAATGGTGTTCGCGCATAATCGTTATGAGGTTGCTGATTTAATATCGGTTTTAAGTGATGATTTAGCGCTTGCTGGCTGAACGGATCAGTTTTGTTAGCTCAGAACAGGGGAAGCGTGATATAATATCTACAGAGGGTTCATCTGCATTTTTAACCAGGAAAATCGGGGTAGTTCTCAATTAAACCATAGCAATGTTTGTTCACGTGTAACACCCTCAATTCTGCTATCAATAATTTCATAGCAAATTCTGAGTTTCTTCTTCACTTAATAGCCATGCATAGAGTATGTAAAAAATGTCGTTCGTGCTCAGTGCTTTTATTTAATAGCAATTAGCAAGTTGTTGGACACGTGATCAAGTCTTAGTAGTACGAGTATATCATTTCAATTTTCAATTAAAATGAATAAGCTATTTTACTTGCGTACTGATGATTAATTCAATGCTGTTTAAATTTTAATATTTGGTTACCAAGACAACCCAACTAATTACTATAATGGACAGCACATAATCGACAAATCTACAGTCAAGTATACATATCAATTTGGAAAATCGCACCACTTCACTGGTCATTATAGTTTGGAGGAATATCTTAAGTGCAAATTTCAAGTGTGAGTAATAAGTAAGAAATTCCATGTACACAATGACTTTGCAGTTTGCAGTATTGTATGTATCACGAATAATCCCTATCGAACGTTTATGTTAGAAATTATCACAACAATAGTAATGATAAGGTTTGCAGTCCTTTAAAATACGTCAACACGTCTCTGTCGATATCAATCATGACACAGATACACATATCTAACTGAATCTGCTGATCTAGTGCACTGAACCAGCTAATGGTTATACTATAGGTATAATTTATTCCGGACATCTAGAATGATTTCATTAACAGCCTTAATGCAGAAACACATTGCGAGGCCAACCCACATGTTTTAACCGGCTCTCCCCCTTCCCTCTTCCAACACCCTGCCCACCCACTCCTGAGTCACGCATCATTCTCACACCTAAAATCCCCAAGATGTTTATCTTACCTGACAATACGAGTGACTTCACTGAGGTGCATCTCTTCATTCAGCCATCTTCGCACAAAGAACAATTGCATTACTAATGCAGTATTACACTGATGTAAGCGTATATATATATACCGAGGTTAATCCATGAAGAGATGCTAAGCGCAGAATAGATCTATGCCGCACTGTTATGTTTTAATACGGCACATATTTCCACATCTTTCCCTCTACAGACAACATCTGTTGCACGCATGCACAAAACAGTATACTACCAGCTGACACGTACAGGACTTAAACAACATTATTCATACATACGTGTAGATCTACTCCTAGTACTAGTAGCCGACAGTCCATGGTAGGCGCATATCGTGGCGTGTGGCAGCGTAGGTGACAAATGCAGTTCTCCACTTGTTTGCAAGCTGAATAATGAACAAAGAATTCAACCAATCTGAAATCCAATTGATAACATTATAATATGTGTCTTACTTGCAAATAATGAAATGTTAGCATTTATTATTGTAATTAACCTACTTCTATGCAAACAATACAAAACATGTGGGTACATCTTACTTACCCAACTACATATATACGTAAAGTATTCATATAAACTGATTCACTACGATATCCCAATTATATCTGCTGTTAAATATTACGTTACTCTTGAATGCTAATCTGCTTTACCCTTGCTGTATTGAATAATACAACAAATGCACATCGCGATATGTTACATGATGTCACAGAGCCACCTGCTGGTCGTTGCAGAAATGAGAACAAAAAACAGGTAAAACTATATATACTATGGAGAATAGAACAATGACAGTATGCATATCTGCATCTGCATCTGCATCATATGTATTTCAGCACTGGGTCACAATTTAACATAACGTGACATTTCTACAATAGCCATTGCTACTACAATATAGTTGCTACTACTTATACATATACTGCTGTTACATATACTGCTGTTACATATACTGCTGTTACATATACTGCTGTTACATATACTGCTGTTACATATAGCAGCAGTATAGATTTCTATGGTTGATGCACCACTACTACATTTTATTAGCAATAGGTTTGTTAGTCACCTATTTATACTGCAATCCTCTTACTTTATTGGAAATGTAAATCCTCTTGACTTGATGTAAATACAAGCCAACATCCGTCCTATACTAATTTTTATTTAATTGCAATTTAACTAATATCTGAGCAAACTGCATAGACACACAATGCCTAACAGACATATAGATTGTATTTTCAATGTATACGTTTATAATAATATGTAGCAGGTTAATTGCATTGCACATGTCTGCTTCTGGTCAAGTGCAATATTTAGAGGGAAGTCAGAACTTGAGTGTCACATCATACATTTATTATGATTTATGTATATTTACCATTGTTAATTAGCTCTCCCCGTATAGCCCTCAGACGGTGGTGGTAGTAGCAGTCGTGGTGGCGGTGGTGCTGGTGCTGGTGTGGGGGTAGCCGTGTTCATATGCTAATAAAGTTTATCTCAGTTAGATCCAAATTAAGTTACAAATAACTTACACTGACGAAATTTTAGCAGTGTTGCTGTTAATGTTGATGTTGATGTTGATGTTGATGTTGATGTTGCTGTTGCTGTTGCTGCTGCTGCTGCTGCTGCTGCTGCTGCTGCTGCTGCTGCTGCTGCTGCTGCTGCTGCTGCTGCTGCTGCTGCTGCTGCTGCTGCTGCTGCTGCTGCTGCTGCTGCTGC